CAAGAGGGATATCTGTGAATCAAAAGAAATATGCCTTAGACATGTTGACAGATGCTGGATACCTTGGTGCCAAGCCTGCAAAGTTTCCTTTGCCACAGAATTTGAAGCTAAGTAAGGATCAAGGAGAACTGATTGAAGATGCTAGTACATATAGGAGATTGATAGGAAAAATCATATACTTGACTATAACCAAACCAGATTTATCGTATGTTGTACAGGTACTTAGTCAATTTCTTCAATCACCAAGGCAACCACATCTGGAAGCTGCTCATCATGTAGGTATCTGAAGGCTACACCAGCACAGGGACTACTATTCGAAAGCAAATCAGACCTGGTTCTTATGGGCTTTCGTGTTGCTGATTGGCAGCCGCACAAATACCAGAAGATCAATCACTGGTTACTGCATTTTTCTATGGAGTTCATTGGTGTCATGGAGATCAAAGAAGTAGCATATCGTCTCTAGATCCTCAGCATAAATAGAATACAGGTCCATGGCTGTAGTCATTTGTGAATTAAGCGAGTTGAAAAGCATTCTTCCAGATCTTGGTATCAAACATGATAGAGCAGCTCTGTTATTTTGTGACAGTCAATCAGCCATCCATATTGCCAGCAACCCGGTTTTCCATAAAAGAACCAAACATATAGAGATTGATTGCCACCTTGTGAGAGATAAGGTTCAAGCTTGAGATGTTAAAATGCTACATGTTAACTCTCAAGATCAGCTAGCAGATATATTGACAAAACCATTAGGAGGAATTCGATTTAAACAGTTGGTTATTAAGATGAGAGTTTTGAATATTCATCTCCCATCTGAGGGAGAGTATTGGAGAATTTGTAAATTATAGGAGGCTATTTCAGTAATTTTCATTTCTTTTATTTTCTATATATATTGTACAGTACCTTCCGTTTTCATTCAAATTTTGGGAATTAACAGATTTTCCTTCCATTTTATCTCTCTCTCTCTCTCTCTCTCTCTCTCTCTCAATATTTCATAATTAATGTTTATTGAAGAAATATGCGTAGGAGTGGTCCTTTTCCAATGTATGAGGTAGTTGTGTATCTATAATGCTCGAAAAATAGATGAAAATCACGGTCAAAATCAAGTTGAAGAAGAATTCTACTTCCAGCAGGAAATTGCATGATCAACTCTATGTTGTTGCCGTCTTTTTAGCTTCTGTTGTAATTTTGTTAGGCTAAGCACTCGTCCAGCTTAATTTGCACTATACGGCCGTCAGTATTTTTATCATAAATTTCTCTTTCGATATTCAATTGAGGCGATTCCAGTTACAACTTTACTAGAATAACATTTTTCGAATTCGAACGTTTACTATTTCAATCTTCGGCTAAAAATTTGAAATATAACTTGTGCTATGGAAATTGATTTGTCAAAATATTTTGATCATATTTCACTCATTTTTGACTACTAATTACATCCAATTGACTCATAGCAATCTTTAATTATCATTTTATGGTATGAATAAACTATTGAAAAGTTACAATTAGGTCCTTAAGCTTTGAATTTTGCCATTTTTTCTTCTTCATTTCGATCCCACTTTTAATAATCGAGTTTTCCTCGATAAACGAAATATGCAATAAATTAGACCATAATTTATCAAAAGAATTATAAAATATCTATATTTGTAGACCCGAATAAGTAGGAGTGAATGGGTTTGATTTAGATGGTTTGTGACAAATTTTCTAACCAAGCATTTAAAGCGGTTTGAAAAAAATTTCAAACCAATTCAATTTCTAAACCAAACCAATCCAAACCACATTTTCGGTATGCTTCGGTTTAAAACTCCGATTTAACAAAAAATAAAATATATTGAATAAGTTAAATAAATATTAATTTAGAATTTCACGTTAAAATGTCAATAGTAACATTAAAAATATTACCAAACCAAAGTTCTATAATTCTGATAATTATAATGCAATATACTATGTAGAAATATTTTAACCTCTTAGTCGAAACTAATTGACGCAACATTTGCAGTTGTGATACATGATTCATTATCTTCACAAAGATAAGAATATAGCGTGTGAATTCATTGATTATAGTTAAAGGATATAAAATAATTAATAAAATAAAAATGAATAGAAAGATTAAATGTGATAATATATTCGATAAGTTTTTGTGAATAATCCAATATTTCTACATCATCCAAATATTGATGAATCACTATATATTCCTTATTATTATGAAACCAATTTTTAGGGCATATTTCAGTATCAACCATATTTGCACTCAACGAACTCATAAAGAAATTAAGAATTCAACCACTAATAGGGAATGCAGACTTAGAAGCAATTGTGAATAGAGTTTATCCATTCAACTTTGTCTCTGACAGGGCCCCATGGGCCTTGGTAGTAGAGCTTGGTCTTCGTGAATTTCTGAATATATAACATATTTTTAGCAATTAAGGGGGAAAATCTTTTATTTATTTCATCTAGTTTCCATAAGAGTAATATGTTGAAATGTTCATTGGTCAAATCTTCAAAACAATCATTTTAAGTAATCCATCATATAAATTGCTAGATTCTAGAAATGAACAGTAAAATCTAAAAAATTAAGTTAAAACTCAAAAGACTTAACTAGAAAGTTAAGACCCAAATAAACAAAAAATACTTTTCGCTAAAAAAATTAAAAGAGTTCAACACAAATTAGAACACAACACCAATAAAATATAGCAAATAATTACCAAAAAATAAGAACATTTGGATAAAATTCAAGAAAATTTTTAGTAGAAGAAAAAGAAATATGTGCTTTGAATTAAAATCTAAATTTAATTGTCTACTCAATTGTAATGGACATTCGATAAATATGGTCCACCAGCAATTGTTCAATACTTTACTCAATTTGAGGATTTTGTATTCACAGTTTTGATGACTGATTTGTATATTTAAGTAATTAATTAGGATGAATAATTGTCTATTTAGATATTGAGTTCAATTGGATTATATATTATATGGATGTATCTTTTTAATTTGGATGTGTTTAATTTTAATTGGTCAGGATAAAATTTAAATTCATTTATCTTCAGATTTTTATTTTTATTTTTTTGGGTAAACTATTTGTAAAGATTAAAACCTAAACCAAATCATTTCAAAGCGATTTGATTTTGTTCTAAACCAAAATGTTGACAATCCATGTAAACCCAAACAACTATTTTAAAAAAATGATTTCCATTTGGTTTTGCGATTTGACAATTTCATTGTTCAGCCTTACGAATAAGTAAAATACACTTATTAAAAATCTTGTCAAACTTTTGACTTGTTGGTTATTTTGCTTATTCAAAAATATGATAGACAAATAAGTCTATTTACTTCTTTCTAATGGATATTTTTTACTGTCATTAGAGACAATGTATTAACTAATAGAATATCGAGGAGAAAAATAAAAAATATGTACAAAATGTTGAGAATATAAAAGTAGGAATAATTACTGTTGCGGTAGCAAACCTTTTATTTAGTAGCAGACTTTGTCCAAACCTTTCATTTGTGTCACTCACAGTACCAAACATTTTAAATGTTACAGCTGAAGTCCAAATGGATAGTTTCTGTTAGTTTGACCGATAGTTGGCTAGATAGTTGATCTTGACAATAATTTTGACTAATTTTAAAAGGTTAAAATAGTTACTTTCCATTTTTTTTATAATAAAATAACTAAAATCAAATAAATTAAATTAAAAACCAATTTCCAACCCAACGCCCCAACCCAACCCAACCCAACCCAAATCTGGGAAATCTTCAAACCCCAAAGAATTTCACCAGTAAAATTTCAAAGCCAAATCTGTAAGTTCTTTCAAAATATTTCTAGTCAAATTTTTACATTGTGTTAAATCTCCAAATACACAAATAAAA